ATGTGACCATCACAATAAGTACTTGTGGACAAAGGTTCTTATTAAAACAACCCAAATTTTTACAGTGAACCAAGTAACTGATATGAGATCGATTTGTTACGTAACCAGATTATTAAATAACAACGTTCAACAGTAAACTTCGATTATTTTAGAGATATAGAGGGCACTGTTGTGGAGCATTGGACTGGGTTAAATAAAGAAAACTCGCAATTGTTAAATAAGCTGCCATCCTTACACACAGTGAACAGCGTCGGGTGGCACTCAGTTGGACACGGCTCAATTGGACACGAGCCACTCGCAGCGCTTGAGACTACAAAGCTCCTAAGCACCGGTCGCTGTGATTGGTGGTGTCCAATCGAGACGTGGTCAATCGGGATCACTCCACAGCGTCATACTGAATGTGCGCTTGCAATTTACCTTGCAAAACTAAGAACAGAACATAGCGACCAAAATCTTGCTCATATTTTCTTAAATAGTAAACGTAGTACTGTAGAGCGATTAATGAAAAGTGTACAAAATGCAATCGCGACGGACTTTATACCTCAATATCTAGGATTTTCACATTTCAGCAGAGATCAAATACTTAAAAAACGTACGAATATGTCCTGTAAGCTATTACTTCGTAAAGAAGTCTTCAATAACAATATGGGATGACACTTATGTTTATATATATATAAAAGTTCGAACAATGTTTTTCAAAGATCCTGCTATAATTCGCACAAACAACGTCCTTTAATAAAACCTATGGTATGTGTTGCTCCTAATGGATGTATCATAGACATTTTAGGATCTTTCAAGGCCACTGAAAATTATGCAAGCATCATGCGAACAATTATGGAGATGTCCGAGGTGCGTTATAGATTTCATAAGGGTAATGTATTTGTTGTTGACAGAGGTTTTCGTGACATTAGGGAATATCTGGAACATAAGGGATTTGTGGTCAAAATGCCAGATATCATTCCATCTGATGAAAGTCAACTAAGCGATACGCTTGGTAATAATTCGCGATTAGTCACTAAAGTCAGGTTTGTCGTGGAAGTTATCAATGGGCATCTTAAAACTTGCTTCATGTATTTTAATCGTTTATAGTATCCAATCGATTCTCTTTATAGTATCCAATCGATCATCTAATGAGTGATTTTCGAAATGCCGCTGCTCTTCATAATATGTTTCATTCAGTCATCGTATCAGACCCCGAGCATTCGATTGCAAGGGATTGCACAACTTATGTTAGATCGATTGCACAAACAAAATCTGTTATTTCGATTAATCCAAGAACAAAATCTGAATCGCAAAACTGTCGCATTTGTCTCGTTGGATGCATATGAGTTAGAAGGGTTTCCAGTACTGACAGAAAATGATTTATATAGGATTAGTCTGGAATCATATCACACAGATTAAATAGGCCAAGACATGTTATAGAAAGCATATGGTTACTATAGGACGATATTTTACACAGATAAGTCATGATGAGGCAACAAATCTTGCTAATTATGGCATAATCGTACATGATGCTATTCTCGTCAAAACTCGAATACAATCTAGGCATATGAATAGTATTCGCTACTATGTGTACGTTTTGGAAGAACGTGGTGGTGAAGGTATTCAAGCCATTCCAGAATATTATTGTTCTTGCAAAAATGGCTGTTGTACGGTTGGGTGTTGTGTGCACATAATGACAGTTATACGGTATCTGGGATATGCCCAACACTTTGACGAAGACATCCATATGCCAGCAAGAACAGTTAATGATGTTTTTTTTTACTTTTAGAGAGGTTCGATGAGAAAACTGAAGAGATAAAGTCCATATATTGGCCATATTTCAATTAGGCAATTAAAACCTTTTGTTTCATACCTTAAGTGTTCCTCTCCCCCTCTTCATCGATTAATATATATCACTTGTAACTATTCATTTGGGGTCCAAAAAAGGTTTTAGTTGTCTTCGTCAAGATTGGATATATTCCTGATACTAGATGAGAAATCGAATAAAACCAGTTCTACATAGTACACAATACATGGTCATAATAGCGAACTTTGAACAGCTGTAGCACTCAAGGGACTCATTTTACAAAGTTGTGCATACGGAACTTTTTAATCCTTTTTTTATGCTTTACAATCCTAGCTAGGTCTCAATGCTGTTCAGCCGGGACCCAAATTGGGCATAGTCCTTTCTTTCGCATAGTAAGCTTCAACACTTTCTCGAAGAGCATAACGCAGTTTATATAGATGCGCTTCTGTATTGCGAAGTTCGGTGGCTTAGTGTAGAAAAATGCCTAGAAAAGTTCTTTGCTATAAAAAAAGAGATCTTCCTTTTCTTGCAAGAAACTTTATTTGACAAAATATGATGAATTTCAATCCTTTCTTCAAAATTTAGACTCGCTTTGCGAGCTCACTCTTCTAACGGATTTAACGAACCATTTGAATAATTAAAATCTCAGGTTGCAAAAGTCCAATCAAAGTATTTCTCAGTTAGTTTCACATATTGATTCGTTTCGCAGGAAATTAACATTGCTCAAAGATCATACTGGAAACAACATTTTTCATTTTTATCCATCTTGCTAAATTCTCTTCGAAAAATATGGCACTAGTTACAATTTTCAGAAATATTTGTTTTTATTAGAATCGCTAACAGAGCAATTTAATACGCGATTAAATTATTAGATGTTAAACTTAATTCCTGTAATTTTTTCGTCTCCAAAATTGATTTGTTTCGAAAGGAAGATGAATGAATACCTTAATCAAAGTAATTTCCCCCATTTTCTACAACTTTTTCCCATTTCTCCGACAACAGGGCAATCCCACGACGGTAGAACGCGGTATCTTTCGAGACGATCCATTCATCCACCCATTTTTGGACTTCGTTGTGACTGAAGAAGTGTGTCCGTAAGTGCGTGTTGCATCGATCGGAAGAGATGGTAATCCGACGGTGCCAAGTCTGGAGAGTACGCTGGATGCGGGAGAACTTCCCATTCAAGTTCTAGAAGTGCCTGCTTCACGCTTTTCGCGACATGCGGCCGAGTGTTATCATGCAACAAAATGACTTTGCGTCGATTGTTGGCTACGGATGATCTTTTTTGCATCAATTCGTCACTCAATCGGCCTTTGGAGTAACATTTAACTGTTTCGACAACTCTAAAAGCGTTAGAGCTGGATTCTCATCAAGCAATTCTTGCAGCTCAACATCTTCAAATTTTTTCGGCTTTT